CAAACCCTCTGTCCCGGTCCCTGTTGCTGTGCAACGAGAGGCCAGGCTTAGTCAGCATTTTTGTTTGACAAGCTGTGTTCTGCCCACCCTGCCCCAATTAACGCAAGGATGGGGGTGAAAACAGTGTTGGATTTGCCTGGGAATAATAACGGTTTCTCAACAACGCAGCCCCTGAGAAGGGGCAGGAGGGAGCTAAGGCTTCTCCACTTAAGAGTCTCCCAGGCCCTAGGGGCTGACAGCAAATCCTTAAGGTTAAAACCTTCAAGCAGAAGGCCCCCCAGCTTCATATTTAAATGATAATACACATTAAAAGAAAAAAATCTGCTTAGACAAAGCCATGAGCCTGTGGATGTCAAGGAATTGTTCTTTTAGATGTATAATTAGGGCCTGAGAAGACTATTTCTCAATTTCTTACCAGTTATTACCAAAATTTTCCATTTCACTGGATAAAATTGCAAATATGCCCTTTATGATACTGAGCAAATACTGTGTTGATTTCTAAGCTTACTGAAACAGTAGAATATTCTATAGCATTGTGGGGACATGTGGCTTCTGGTATTTTAAAATTTATGTTGTAGAAAGTATTCTAGGCAGCTTAGAATAAATAGATGCATCCTAAGCCCAGGCACAACTTCCATGGCTGATACAGAATAAATAAATGACTTCCCAATATATTAACAAGAAAAAAATAACAAAACAGTAGTATGACATGCTACCACTTGTTCTAAAAAACAAAGCACACAGACAGATACACAGAGACTGGAAAGAAAACCCCATCTCCACAGATACTGTATGAGTATAAGTGTTATGTTCTTCTGCATTTTTTAGTATTTTAAACATTTTTTATAATAAATTTTGTCTTTACGTGATAACTTTATCACTTTAATTTATATACAGTAAAATTCACTCTTTATGGTGTACATTTCTGAGTTTTGACAAGTAACATACAGTTGTGAAACAGCCACCCCAGGTAAGAGGCAGAACTGTGCCATCACGCGCCAAAATCCCCTACTGCTGCCCCTTCATAAGTGGCCCTTTCCCACCTCCATGCCAAGCAACCACTTATCTGTTCTCTGTCCCTATAGTGGTGCCTATTCCAGAATGTCATATAAATGGAATCATACAATATGTAGCTTTTTTGGGTCTGGCTTCTCCCACTAGCAAAATGCTTTACCTCAGTCAGAAAAAAAAACCTAGTTGATCATTTTTTTAAAAACTAAAAACTTCATTTTTCTACCTAAAAAATTCTCAAACTGAATTCAAATTTCTGTTTAAAAGATATGAAGATACCAGAAGTACACCTTCAACTGAGAGTACTTCCTTTCCTACAGTTGCTATTTCTCTGATGCACCCAAAGTGTCCCATGGCCTTTTGGGAAATTTAGCAAAAATAAAATTCTTATTCTCACTGGAGGATGTCTTTCACAAAAATTCACAATGTCTTTGACAGATGCCTGTTGCTCCAACAGCCAATGCTAAATTGCAGCAACTGTTTTTAATGAAACCCCTACTTCAGAAGATTCCTAATTGGGGGAGATGCCAAACCTCACTGGCTGTTTGGTCTGTAGCTGTTCAACACCTTGTTGGCCCGAGGGGCCACTGTAAAGTAATAAAGAAGCATCTTATGCTAATTATCATAGAACTCTGAGCTCTGGTGCATCTGGTCTTCACTACAGTAATGAAGGTCAAAGACAGCAGCCACTGGGACCCATGACATAGGTAGGGAATGGTTTGAATTTACCCTCTGGCCCCAAGTTGAGATTGGATTTAATCATTTTGTCTCCTTGGCTAAAATATAAGTTATATGAGAACAGCCATGTCCCATTTATTCTTTTATTATTTCTACTACATAAATGTTGGTTAAAAATTGAATAAGGAGATAAAGGAAGGAATGAAAAAGAAAACTTCCCATCCTGAAATAACGGAGGTTCACATTAGACCTTAAATCAATCTTTCCTCAAATCCAGTTTTTTAATATTGTGATGGGATTTCCATAACAATGGGTTGACAGATGAGCCCGTGGCATCATGCGGTGTATGCCAGATAGGGCAACAAGAACTAAGGAATTGTTTTCTCCTAGAGTAACATCATCAGACTATATGGTTAGAGGAGTAATGGTGTGGGAGAAGGAAAAGGAAGGAGAAATGAAACTGAATATTTATACAGCATGTAATTATAAGGTGCTTTCACATTTATCATAAATTTAAGAACGATATGAATTTAGAGTAGTGATGATTTCCCAAGAATTAGGGAATAAATTCACCTACTTAATTTTACCAATCCTTCTTCCTACTACAGAAACAGAGTGGAGGAAAGGGTCTTTCTCCTGGAAATTCTTCCGTGATAGAGCTGCAGACAGATCAAGGCATTCCTGCAAGGCAAGGTCTCTGAGAAGACAGGCTGTACAACGAGGGCCCTCCTGCAAGCAAGAGGAGAGCCTCGGTAACTACAAACTGCCCGGAGAGCAAAGGATGTCCAGGCAGCATGGCTACCGAGGACATGGGAGTGGGACAGAGTGAGCAAAGGAAATTCACAGGTAATCTTAGGCCTCCTCAGGACCACCATTTCCTCCAAGTGCATATGTTTCCACCAAATGCTGGAAGGCAGCTAGGCAGGTAATCCAAATAACACTTTTACTGCCAGTCCATTTCTCTGCCTCTGGCCTGGCCTAAGTGCAAATAGTAAGGCAGAAAATCGCCAAAAAAAAAGAAGTAAAAAAGCCCACCAAGATGACAGACGTGGCCACATCTGAACATCCGGGCACCTCGGCAAATGCTGCTGACGACTATTACAGAGCATCCCAACACGGAGCGCATGGCCTTAAATACTATCTTTGACACTAAGGAGCAGATTCCTTTTGGATGGGGAAAAAAATCTTCCACTATTAAAAAGTCTCTTTAGGCTTTTTTTCCTGTATACCATAATACAAATAAAAAGACATCAGAACGATTCATTCCATCTCAATCCCTTCTAACTAGACACACACACACACACACACACACAAAGCTGAACTATCTGAGCAAATCTGGACCACACTTCTCCCCCCGTCCCGCCGAATGGAAGTGCACACTGTGATGCAGCAAAACGCTCCAAGTTCCACAGTCTCTAGGGATCAGCATTTAATGAACTTGGTTGGCATTTCTGTAATATGAACCATCAATACTACATTCTGGTTCAAAGGCACATACAGTTGGAATAAAGGAAACAATTTGGGGCACTTTTCCCCACCCCTTTTCAGAAATACTTTCTGTGGGAAAGAAGGAGGTGGGGCAAGAGAAAGCAGTGGAAACTGAGAAACAAGACATTCTTGCAGAACGGTCTGAGCTTCGTATAAGAAAAAAAAACTCACTAAAACACATTTAAGTATAAAACTAAGAGAAAAACTTATAAATGCTTTATAATATTACTTAATTTACTCTATAAAATAAAAATGTATTGCAAATGGAATTGTCATCCAAAGAGAGAAAACAATAATACAATTATTTCCTACTAAGAAACCTGATCCTGTATATCTAAAAACAGGATAAACAACTGCTACCCTCAAATAACCATGAAAGTTTAGACATAAGTCCTCAGGGTAAAAGGCACAGCTGTACTTATAAACTTGTATTTCTCAAACTTAGAGGATAGTTCAACTGAACAATTAAGCACAATTCGGATTCATTTCCCTCATTTTCAAAGGCTATTCTGAGCAATCATTTAAATTCACATTTTTGAAATGTCACACAGTATGGATACTTTACACCCTAGAATGTATTTGATGAGAAATACCTTATTCATTTGTGGAAGTTAATGTGTATTTTTGAAAGTATCAGATGTGAGTAAAAGAAAAAGCAGTGTTTACCTGACACTCCCCCAGTCCCCGGGAAGCTCACTGTCTGCAACAGTAAAACTATTTTCTCCAACTAGTGAAAGGAATCTATCTGTGTATCGTGCTTCATATGAGTCATAAAACAAAGTCTGAAGAATTAGAACAATAAACTGAAGTTTTCTTCCCCAAAATGTAGTGAGCAAAATACATGAAACCTAAAAATATGGGCTACATTATACATTACTTCAGCAACACAGAAGAAAGAATTCTGCTCTGCACAGACGGAGCCCCTGAAGCAGGGAGAGAACTGGGGGCTCCTTGAGGGGCTCTCTTTCATTTATTTTTTGAAGTGCTGCACTGAACCCGGCCCAGAGAGCACACACAGCAATTTTCTACTGCTGGAATGAATAAAGGAATGGAATTTGGTGCAAAGGTGTCTGACCAACGCCCCCCCTTTGGGGCCATTTTGTGGACCATTCTACCAGAGTCGTATGCAAACCACTCTCCTTTGTCATTCTCCTATCTTCCCTGACTCTTTCCCATGCTTCCTGGTGGGCCAAAGATGGCTGCAGAATCTCTCATATCAGCCACAGAACATGCCCTCTTGATCTGCTTTAATCTGTGTGCGCGCGCCGGTGGGGAGGGCGTGGGGGGGTTCAATGCTTTGATGTCTTTGACCACAAGAAAACAGTAGAAGTGACTCTGTGATGGTTTCCAGAGCCGAGCCCTAAGACACTGGCGGCTTCTAGTCGCTGTCTCAAGCTGCTACTACAGTACGTCCCACCACTGAGGCTGCTGTGCTGGAGAACCATTACTAGTTTTAGTCCCAACTAAACCCCATTTTCCAGCCATACTCACCTCATTGCAATGCTACACACCAGCTGAGCCCTAAGTTCCTGACCCACAAAACTGTGTGATACCATAAAATGGCTATTGTTCTAGGCCACTCAGTTGGTAATTTGTCACGCAGCAATAGGTAGTTGGACCATATTCTCTCCCTCCTTCTAAAGACAAGCAAGGGAAGCAGAGGCAGCGCTGGTCCTGGGACTCACGGGGCTTGCGGGCAGAGGCTGGGGAAGGGACGGCGTTCACTGCGCAGGCGCCGGGCTCGGAGCCCCGCGGCTTCCAGGAAGGGCCTGGCCCGGGGCGGGCCGCTGCTTCCAGGCCCCGGTGTGCGGACGGCGGCCTACCTGCCTCATGAGCTCCTCCTGCCGCACGCGGATCCTTTCCCTCTCCATCTGGATCCTCTGGAGCCGCAGTTTCTGCTGGTGCTGCTGTTGGGTGGTCAGCGCGCTGGGCGCGGCCATCAGCCCGGCCGCAGGGCTCTGGGCAGGGTGGCTCTGCGGGCTCAGGGTGCCGGGCGCCATTGGCTGCGCGTGCTGGCGGCTCATCACTGCGGGGAAGAACATGCAGGACACGGTGACCAGAGCCCACACCACCTCCTCGTTAAGACAGGGGAGCGCTTTGCGGGGCAGAGTATGGATTCCCAAGATTCCTTCCAAGTACTCTGCTGTTAATTATTACTGTTTAAGTAATTTTTACCTTAATGCAATTCATGAAGGCCCCACTCCTGACTCATCTAGTCTCGGCTTTTGTGCTCTGTTAAAAATCTTATATCACACCTCCCGTGTCTAGAGTACATTTTAAGCCTTCCTTAGGGCACACGGGTCAAAAGTAAATTCCACCATGGTTATCACAACATATGAGCTAATTTCACCAGGACACCAGTGGGGATGTGTGTGCACCTTTCTGAAAAACTGAATGTTTATGGCAGAGCTAAGGCAGGCATGAGATTATAGATACACGGTGGATGTGCAGTAACACCCAAGATGGACAGGTGAACTGACAACCAACATGTGAAATGCAGCACAGATCAGGGACCTATGCACAAGCAGGTCCCCATCAACACTTTGTTAAAAAATAGTGCCCCAAAGAAGCATGAGATAAGCTCAGGAACAGATAAATACCTGATGGAGAAAAAAATGTTTTGGTTATTCCAAACAGACAAGTTAGTGAGAAAGAAGTTGGACTAAAATTCTAATTGTACTTCTGATCGGATGAAGACACTAGAAGTGTTTTAAACTTTTTAAAGGATGTTCTATTTAGATGCACTAACATTTAAAATTTGGCATGTAGTACTTGGCTTTAGAAAAGAATTTTAAAATTCTTTAATTCTATAATTGTCACTCCCAGAAAACATGCATTTTAAGAAGTGTTAGTTTTCCTCAAAACAGTTTACCAGTTCAGACTTGCTTAACTTCTGCCTGGGCAATATCCTGTATTAAAGAAAATGATGATTTTCTGTCTATTTGCTCCTAGGTCAATTTGCCCCTAGGTCAGGATCAAAAATAACCACATATAATTTTATATGCACACTTCATTTCTGAGGAAAATCTCAATATTTGCTACATTTGGTATTAATTATCTTTAAAAAATAAAATTATTGGCATATTTAAAGTCTAAAAGTTAAAGATTTTAGATGTTCTCTTTGCCATCGGCATCATGTGGAAACATGTTTTATAACTAAATTTTCTTAAATGAATTTTAAAGTAACCTAACCAACTCAGTATTAGGTTTATGTGTAGGGTGGACACACACACACACACACTCACACAAAGGCAGAAGAACTGGTTTCCTTAAGGAACAATTAATTCCATGACTGGAACTTCCTCTGGTAGGGGAAAACACTCTTTATAAAATTTATCTATAACTCACTCAAATCTTCGCTGCAGTCCCACTATGTGCCAGGCATGGGGCTTACCGCAGGGTAAGTGGCATCACAGTGCCCTCACAGGCACAAACAGGCTGTTAGAAGCAATGTATGAAGAAATGAGGTGGGTGTTTATGTGTGACTGTGGAACGCTAGAATGTTAGGCTTTGTGGATTTTTAAGAAATTACCTGGTCCATCCCTTTATTTTATTTCAGACTTGAGACTGAAACCTAGAGGTGAAGGGATGTGCTCTGCTTAGGAGCAGGGCCAAAGCTGGGGCATCGCATCTACCTGCTCTTTCCGTCGTCCTTGGCTGCCCTGTGCCCCATCTGGGACTGAAGAACTGGAAGAGTTGCAGAAACTGGGAGCAATCCTCTAAACACAGTTTGCCTTCAATTGCAAGGAAGTACCACTTCAACAGCAGGCCATCAAAACAGGGCTCGGGGTCCAGAGGTTGCTCGGGTCACAGACAGGAAGGGCTCAAGGAAGGTTTGGAAGATGGGCAGTTCTGCTCAATAAGGAGCTACCAAAGGAGATGGTGAGAATACTTGGGGTATCTGCCTAGACAGTGTAAGTTAAGCCCACACAAAGAACTCGCACCTCCTGGCACCATTGTGGCACCCAGAGAACCTCAGTGAATGATGTGATGGACAAATGAAACCAGTTTGAGAACAGAAGAAAAGCACAGTCATGCCTGGTGCCAACGTAACTAAAATGAGTATTTCATCTCTATAGCTTGTGAGCATAATTACCACTTCTATTTGGAGGCCTGGGTAGGAAGTCAGAGATTATGCACACACTGTGTCACAGGGAAAAAGTTCTTCAAATACAGATTCAAGTAAGACAGAACCCAGACATCCAGAAGAGTTTAATTCATAAGATTTCCTCCAGGCCAAGAGAAAGAAGTCATTTTTAAACATTCTGAAAAGGCTTGCTCCTCTTTGTCTGATGTAATTACCAAAGACAAAGAAGATGCCGAACAGTGTCTATAACAGAAATGTGTGCATTGAATATTTCCAATGTCAGAAATCCCCAGACTAGGAAAACGAGACTGCAAAAGGTTAGTTTTGTTGGCAGTTCAGAGGTTATTAACTCTATGTTAATTTTTATAACTCAAATACTTTAAAAAATGTTATAAACTGACTCAGGTCTTACTGACCTGACAAATTGGAGCAGAACTATCTTCAGTGACCTGGGAAGACTGCCCTGTCAGTATACAGCATACTGTACTGGGTTTGCTCAAAATGGACTCTGTGACTCAACTCCACACTGCAACCAGACCGGCTTGGCAGATTTTATTCATGTCTACATCCTAATCTGAGGGAGTTTAAAACTTGGAGAAGAGCTCTTCCAGAACCACACCCTTAATAGTCTTCAAAACACCAGCCCTTACAGAGACATCCACAGGGGGTTTGGGTGGAGATGTTACTTTCTCACACTTACTCGGATTTGACCGTTCAACTAAACATCTCCAGTTATTAACTGTAGGAACTGGAAAGAAGCGGAACTTCGACAATGGCTTTGTTTTCAAAGTAAAGCATACCCAGCAACAGAGAAGTTTGTATGAGAGGATTCACGGCTATTTAGCAAAAGACAAAAAATGATGTCCACATGAAAGTATGATCCACCCATCCATTCAGAGGAATTGATTCTGTGTAACTGTCAAAGAATGGGTGAGCTCTGGAGATATGGATATGGAGAATCTGTAAGAAACATTGTTCAGAGCAGGGGAAAAAAAAAACCCAAGGGACAGAACTGTATGTCTGAGCATGCTATTTGTGGTTAGAAAAGTGGAGGGGGGTGAGGCATGTAATACCTACACAGCACATGTCTCTAGGAGGATGGATATAAAAGAGACTGTAACAGGCAGAGAAAGACAAGTACCAAATGATTTCACTCATTTGTGGAGTGTAGCAACAAAGCAAAAACTGAAGGAACAAAACAGCAGCAGACTCACAGACTCCAAGAAGGGGCTAACGGTTACCAAAGGGAAAGGAGATGGGGAGGGCAGGCAGGAAGGGAGGGAGAAGGGGATTAAGGGGTATTATGATTAGCACACATAATGTAGGGGGAGACACAGGGAAGGCAGTATAGCACAGAGAAGACAAGTAGTGACTCTATAGCTTCTTACTACGCTGATGGGCAGTGAGTTTAATGGGGTATGTGGGGGGGACTTGATAATATGGGTGAATGTAGTAACCACATTGTTGCTCATATGAAACCTTCATGAGAATGTATATCAATGATACCTTAATAAAAAAAGAGAGAGAGAGAGAGAGAGAGAGAGAGAGAGAGAGAGAGACTGTAACACGGGAGCCTCTGCAGAGGAAACCGGGTACCGGGAATGGGAGGGGATCTTCCTTTTCCTCTTCTGTACAGTTTGAAGTTTCCCTATGTGCATTTATTACTGATATAAAACATAAAAATATAAATGGAAATAAACATAAAGCAAAAACATGGTCATGTGTGCATCAAACTCACTATTTCCTTGGTGAAGAAAAAGGAAATAACCCCAAAATAGCAACAAATAAGGTTTTAAATATAATCAACATCATCAGAGCTGAGAGCTCCGCTAGTGTTCGGCCACTTCTCTTTGTGTAGATGAGGAAACCAGTATTCAAAAGAAAACAAATTTGGTCAAGGTCCTAATATGGTCAGAGGCCTAGAAGCCAGGTATCCTGACTAAGTCCAGGTGCCTGGGATTTCACCTGCCCTGTTACTTGGCCTGTTATTTCTTCAACAGTTACTGAACCTTCTCTGTGATTGGAGCTCATGAACTTTCCTGATGGTTGTTGGGGTTCTTTAAAACCACTGTTTTTGTTTTCTCTGAGCCACTCAGAGAAGATGGGGGCAGAGGAGCCCCGAGATGGAGATAAGCAGAGGAGAGGTCCTTGGGAGAGCATGGGAAGGCAAAACAGCTAAATTTACAACGAACAAAATACTCTCTGGGATAATATTCCAGAGCATTTCAGGGAGAGAACAATAGTTGAGTTAAAAAAAAAAAAGAGAGTATCCCAAATGTATATCTGAGGCCAAGCCAGTTAGGGGCAGACTGCCATTACATGCCTCAAAGAGGCTAAAGACGCATCCATTCCAGACTTTTGCCAGTCCCCACAGAAAGGAGTAACCCTAACAGAAGACTTCTCCACTGAAGCAGGAATGCATCAAAACTACAGCAGAGACCTCTTTAATTTTTTCCCTTTTAAGAGAGTCAGAATTTAAATTTAAATCCACATTATCTTTTTTTATTGTTTTCATCTCCTTTTCCTGTTTTTTTCTGTTTCTGTTTTTTTCTGTTTTTTTCTGTTTTTTTCTGTTTCTAAGTGTGAGAAAGTTAATTGCCTTTCTTGTCTGTGTGTTTTTTGGAAATTAACATAACCACACTCTGCAGATATGTGACTAGAAACATTTCACTACTGCTATTTGATATAAAAGAAAAATTCTGCAGCGTGAGATAGGAACACTCTTTCATCCAGTGACTACGTCCTTGGTGAAGGAAGTGGTCAACACAGGAATGGGGTGTGTCAGGGTGACTATCCATGACCCTCTGGTTAACGCTTCCCAAAACAATGCACACTGATGCATGCCTGACCTGTCCCAGTGCACATACTTGGTCACTTCTACAAAGCCCAAGAGTGGGCTTAAGGACAGGAAGGTTCTGGACTTGGTTCTAAGCCTGCAC